ATAAACCATTTTTGTCAGAAGTGTAAATCATAGTGTAGAAGTTATATCCAAAAGTTAAGCTCTTAACCTTGCTTACTCTTTGAAAAAATTTAATTCTAAGATAAAAATGTCGCGTCATGCTGCTTGTGAGTGCTGCTCGCCAGTATTATTTGAAATTGAGATTTGTTTTTCAAATTCTCAAAAAATTTTATTTATTAACGTCGACGGGTAATCATTATTTTTTAACATATTTTGCAGAATAGTCTTATCCTTAAGATGATGTTTATTATTATTAGCTATTCTTACTCTATTTGTCATGTTAGTAGCAATGTTTTCTTCACACCCTGACTATGGTCTGAACGAAAGTTCAACACCCTATTACTAGCAGTGCTGTATTCGTATTGAAATAATTCAAGAACTTTTGTAAATATGTACGATATAGTATACTTGAAGATTGTGGGATTATACAAAAACAAAAGAAGAACATTATTTTGAAATTGATTAAACTTTGGGAACAAAATTATTTCTTAAGAAAATGTATGCAAAATAAACCAATACCAAAGCGTTTAGAATTAACGGAGTTCGCTTTGGGATCAAGACTGTTAACCGTATTTTTACTCAAGCCAACTCAAGGCCAAATTTATCATACCGTTCATGACAAAGTCAAGCTACCTAAATGGTGAACAGATATTGCTGCAGAATCATCTAAATTTTTATTGGAGAAGAAACTTTTCAAAAAATCAGTCATTTATGTGAAGATAGAAAACAGTATAGTTGTAATAATGCAACGATAAATGATCTGAACAAAAATAATGAAGACGGTATTAGACATGACAACCAGAAAGTTAAATGAAGATGAAAGAAGTGTACTAAATAAAGGTTTAGGTTTTGTACCTAACCAAACTCTCAATACGACTACTTATGTAGCCAAAATGATAGCTGGGGTTGAAGCAGGTACTTATAAAAAGTTGCTATCCGAAAAGGAAGACATAGTTAGTGAGGTAAAGAGAGTCTGAAATCTGAAGTACACAAGTTGTACTATATACTGATGTATTGTCCACAAAAAGGTCCCTTTCAGTTTTGAATATACAGAGCTGTCAATATCACAGATTAGAGTTAGTAAAATGGATGGGGAATTTGAGATAAATCCCTGCGTACGTTTTCTTTCTGTTAGGATAAAAAGGTGCATACTAAAACACGGAAAGTCCTATCTTTTACAGACCTTTTTGATTGGTCGTATCTAGGAAACATCCAATCAAAATGATCCGTAAAACGTTGAAATTTCCGTATTTTAGTATGCATCGGATAAAAACTCGAAAAGGACACTCTTTATGTGACTCTATTTACTTTGTCAGGATATTGAGGAAGCTCATACTGGCTATTATCTTTCTTAAGTATAAGCTGAATGAATATTTCGACGAAAATATAAAATTTTTTCATTTGTTATGTTTTCCAAACAAAAATGTATGACATAGTGGCATCATTTTAGACACAACTTGTATAAATCTGGCATGTAGTTAATTATATGGAACTGTTTATTAATTTGTAGCTGTACAAACATACAATAAAATTTCTCATCAGCGCACTAAACACCACCTTCCGATGTCTTGCAGAAAGTTTATATCTGCACAAGATTTGTCAAATTTCTTGATCTCAAAAAAAAACCTTGATGATTAACCTTGAAGATTAAGCTTTTTAGCTTCATCTTCTTCCGAAATCTCTACATCCTCTTGAATATCGTCTTCGTCGTGGATTAGTTCTTCTTCTAATTTTTCAGCGTAGCTGTCAGCTACTTTAAATTGATTTTCATATTTGGGGCAATGACGAAAATCATCGGCTGCATTTTCAGATCCACAGGAGGTCATATACTCTTTACAAAATTGTTCAACTTCATTCAAGTTGAAAAGAACATTAGGTTAGAACATAACCTTATAAACCAGCCCACAAAAGTTCTATCGAATTAAGCACACGGTGCTTAATCGGCATACGCAAGATACTCACTCCAAATTTCTTTGCAGCTTCATCCACCAGATATTGCTTAGGAGGCAAATTATTAAATGCAATATCCAATAACTGGCTCTTCGTGTGATGTGGCTCATGTACACCGTTAGATCGTTTTGTTATTTTGTCGCTGGATAGAAAACAATCGTCCAAAAATGGAATGGAGTACCGAGGACATTAATAAATGTCCTTTTCGTTAGTAGTTATCTCTAATTGATGAACGACGCTTTTTTTGAGCTTACCACTCTTCTTTTTCGAAAATTGCCCATTAACCATCTAAAGCATTGCATTTTAATATTTCAAAAAATTGACATTTTGGTATCTTTTAGTGAACTAATAACTTTAAACTTAAATGATACAGAATCGGAGGAATGTTTTCGATGATTTGGTTTATCCGATACGAACTCTACATCAACAACAGCTTCAAGAAGCATAGCATATCCATCAGTATACAATTCTTCTCTCATACAATCACAGTCGCTCGCAATTGTCATCACACAACAAAACCTTTCTGCAGTTTTGCCTTTACTTACAATGTCTGGTTCGCGGCGAGATTACGGCGTATCATCCCGTCGAAAATTTTCTCTGCAATATTTGCTGCCGACCTTGGATAATCAATTCGAACTTGCGGCTCAACAACCAACACGTGTTGATTTTGGTCCTCGATGTTCCAGAAAACAACAGTTGGTGAAAACAATCAGAGATGATGCAGTATACCAAGAAAAAAGATTTTCACAAGTGAATTTTGGACGGAAAAGTTCAGAATACGTACTACAGTAAAAGATAGAGACTTGTTGTTGTCGATAGCCGAAAGAGCATGTTTAAGCTAAAACATCATGAGCACAAACATTTTTTGAGACAATTTCTGAAACTGCTTTTTGAAAGGATATCTGAAAACTACTAACTTGTAAGTTGAAAATGTGTTATTATTAATAGTTTTGGATCTGAAAGCTTGCTATGTTTTAAAACTTGTATAAATGTAATATCTTATTATAATCTGAACTTTTGAAAGGTTAATTTGTCATTGATTATAATTCTAATCTTTACTTTTATTAAGTTTTATGTTATTTTTGTTTGTTAAATTATCATACGAGGCTTTTCATCTTAAGTTTTTAGTGAATGTTTTAGTTGCATTTTTTAAATAATTTTAAGCTGTTAAAATAATCAAGATGAATATTCTACTATTTCTAGTGTTTAGCACGGATTGTTTTCGTCAGTAAGGTAGTTCAGAGTAGGATTTAACTGTGAACTTTGAAATTTAAGATTGATCTGTAGATTTAAGCTAACAAGCTGCAGGATTCATAGTTGTGATATGTTTATGTCGGAGTTGAGATTGGAATTCTAACGTCAACTAGTTGTGATACGAATGCCGCCTAACTAAACTAGTTGAAGTTAGAATTCTAAACCAAACTGGATGAGATCAGAATTCCAATGTGAACTGACAAACTGGACTAGTTGAGTTCAGAATTTAAATTCATGCTAAGAAATTGCATAGGAAAGAGAGAAGGAAAAATGTGGCGTGCAGACAAAAAGAAAGTGAAAGATTTTTCTTCTAATGATATAGAAACTGTGCAGTACAGTATCAATTTTCTTTTGCATAAAGCATATCCTGTCACATCACAGTCTTTTCTGATTCAATTTATTTTGCATAATGCAAGACTTTCATAATAGTAAGTCAGTGATGAATCATCACTGATGATTTGCATTTGTGCCTCTGGATGAACTTACCAAATTCAGATGTGATCAACTGCGCTGACAAAACGCCGATTCTATCTGCGTATGTCATTTTTTTCTTTATTGGAAAAATAGTTTTTCTTGAATTAAGAAGGACTGTGATGTGACACGATATGCTTTATGCAAAAGAAAATTGATACTGTACTGTACAGTTTCTCACAACCAGTTGACGTTAGTTTAATTCCAATCTCAATCAGTTGAAATTAGAATTCTATTCTCACCTAGGCGAATTCCGAATTCCTCTAGATTCCAATCTCAACTCTGACATTTATATTTTAATATAATTTTATGTGATTATGAAAAAATTATTAAATACTCGTTTTTCCAAAGTAAAGGCGTGCGCACATAATGAAGTTGAAAAAAAACATTATTGACACTGTTTTGTTTTCTTTTTTTCTGATACGAACAGAAACACCTAACTGTCATGCATACTTGACAGCCGAACAAATATACATGACGCACATACGTATAACAGTTTCTCTTGCTTTTCTATTCACTTTCGAAAACTGCAATGAGAGGAGAAATTTATCATTCTTGTGTTGTTCGAAAGTGAAAAGAAAAAGCAAGACAAAATGTTAAATGTGTGTGTGTCATATTTAACTATTCTGCCTGCCTAGCGTTCTGCTGCGGCAGCGAACAATCGAAAACTCGCAATATTTACGCCAATAAATACGGTTGTTAACGGGATCAAAACCAAGGCAAAATGGCACAAGATGAACTGACTGATACATATCTATATAGAATATTTCAACGGTGAGCATTACCATTAAAAGGAAAACTGAGAAACGGATCGGGCATTACCATAATGATTTTTTCTTTTATTGGGAATAGGTTAGATATCGACCGGTCGGGGATGATTTCTTCGAACGAGTTCTTAGCAGCTCTTTCTGGTGGCACATGGTATCCGTTTAATCCTGTAAGAGACTTTTCTTCTTACGATAACCCTGTCATAATCCACTATCGTTTCAGGTAACCGTCCGAATGTTATTTGGTAAGTCCATGAAATAAGAGACTTCTTTGTTCTACACTCTAAAAGAAAGCACTGTACAAGATCGAAAAACGGCTTCTTCACAATGTAAAGAATAAAGTGTGTTACTAGGTGGTGCAAATCTTCTAAACAGTCACTCGGCATCGAACAGCGTGTACTTTTTCTAAACGGTCAATTTCAGTGTGTAAGAAGCCAGGTGTGTTAAAAAGATTTCTTATTTGCCATTTTTCCCGCGAACTGTTACATTAAACGAAAAAATGATTTCAGACCCATGATCACCGTTCTCAGAACTATATATACTGTCACTCCTGGCCAGAACAGATAAGAAAAAAAAGCGAAAACAAAACATCAGCGTATGATAGATTTGAACAACGGATTGATGCATCTGAGCCATTTCCGGCACAAAGGGTTTGGACAACTAGACTGCTTTATTGTCATCAGTGCATGAAGCTAGGCGATCACTTCTCAGTGTGTATTTTACACATCTACGCCGTACGTTCTAGACAGTCACTGAGAATCGGCTTGGCGTTCACTTTATGTGTGCTGTTTACACATTATTTTTTACAGTGCAGTGAATACAAATTCGGAACCTTTTAAGGTTTCATACGAAACTGAGACAGACTTCGTGTGGAGCCTAAAAAGGTGTCACATTTATATTCAAGGAAACAACCTTTTCTTATGCAGGGCTGCCCATAGCGCGAGGAGTAGGGGCTAAGCCTTCGATAATATAAAATGTCTGTTAAAGGTCCGAAAAGCTGAAATTTTTTTCAGCAGCATTTTGGAGTCCAAATCGAGGCTAATTTTTCTTCTAACTTTCGCACTGAATATTATCAGTGATAGAGAAATTTTTGATCACGCCCACTTCTGACTTCGTATAGACACAGTTCTATCCTTATGGTACTTTTCTGAAGAGTGTAATCCTTGCAACTTGTGACGTTTGCTAAGATGGAGACAAAGGTAAAGAGAATTGCATAAGATAAAAGAACTATCTCTATTTAGGCGAATTCAAACCGTTCGATGCGAATTTAAGTTGCCAATGACTGTTCTTTTTGCTTACTTGTACCACTTGGCAGCGTCACCGCTCAAACACTGTGCAGTAATTGGAGTTCTGGCATCATCCTTAACATTCGCAATAGCCAGAATTGTTTCAATTTTATCGAGCCAATCTGTTGGATCTTGATCGTCTGCACCGGAAAAGGGCTCAGCACCTTGTACGCTTTTTGATAATAACAAATTTTGTAAACTCAATGCCATTTGTTTCCTACCTTCTCGTTGATGTCTCTTCTCTTCTACTTGTTGGTCGCATTGGCGAATTGCTAGCTGCTGTTATTTGTCGAGTGTCCAGGCTCACAAATTACTATTAATCCCAATTAATTAATAAATAATACACCTACTTGAATCCAAGAATGGTAGAATCTCCAGTTATTACGTAGTGTGTAGCGTAACTTGTATCCTACTTTCTGTCAGAATTTCTACGCTTCCTACCAAATTACTCTCACCGAAAGTGATGATTTTGAAGAAAATTCTACCTAAAACGTGACGTTTTCCTGTCTAAAAGTTATGGAGTGATCTCAAAAGAGAATAATCTGAAAGTCAATAGGATGAGGATCTCGTCCCGCCTGTCACAATCGACAGATGAATCATTTCTTTGTTACATACCTAACGGGGATTCTTTTTTCGTCGTTTCTATCTCAACAGGTTTCTTTGGTCATGATGCATCCGAAACAATCGACTTCAAAGGGTTTTGTGCCCTTTTCCGATATATTTCAGACAAAGAAAAGCGCCTCAAGTAATTACTGGGGATGAATATTCGATCAAATGTATCATATCTTTTAATGATTAGAGACTCGGATTTGAACAGAAATGGCACTAGTGATAAAGACGAGTTCAAGACCATATTGATCTCGCTCGGTAAGTTCTCTACTGCTGATGTCTCATATTTTGGTTATTATACCATAGTATACTCTCTTCTCAAAGGAGAATAAAAACTATTATGGGCACTCTGGAATCAAATAAATTATCCGGAAATTTCAGAGACAAATAGATCATATTTCTCTTTCTTCGTTGAACATTAATGATTCTATCTTTTCAATACACTTAGCAAGTCTATAGAGCATGTTTAGCAATTGCACTAACGAGGGAACGTTTCCGAGTGTCCAATCGCTTTTTAATCGAAATCTAGTGGGTTATAGGTTATCGGTCTTGCTGATTCTGAATATGAATATCGGAGTTCCCCACAGTCCTTCGAAGATCCGGTCTTTTGTAAAACCAGTTTTTCAGAAACTACAAAAAATGACAAAAACCTTTCTTAATCAGGCGGAATTGTAGCGCGCAAATTTATGATGAAAATGAAACATCTCCCAGCTCTACATGACCTTTCTTTGCAAAGTTATAGAATTTATAAGAAAAGCCCTAAATTAATTTTTTCCTTCTTATTTCTGCACTTTTGAGCTGACAACGGACAATTTAGGGCTTTTCTCATAAATTCTATAACTTTGCAAAGAAAGGTCATGTAGAGCTGGAAGATGTCTCATTTTCATCATAAATTTACGTGCTATAGTTCTGCCTGATTAAGAAAGGTTTTTGTCATTTTTTGAAGTTTCTGAAAAACTGGTTTTACAGAAGACAGGATCTTTGAAGGGCTATGGGCTATGGGCAACTCCGATATTCATATTCAGAATCAGCATGATCAATAACCTATAACCCACTAGATTTCAATTAAAAAGCGATTGGACACTAGGAAACGTTCCCTCGCAAGTTATCTCTAGCTCTAACCTTTCAAATATCATAAAGTTTTATTCTTGCGGCAAAGATCTATTTATGTTTTAATTTTTGCGGTTGTTGGTACATGTAGCAAGTGAATGTACCTGTTTTTATATTATTTTTGATTGCTTTCTTTTTTTACATCGATTTGCAGGTTATGATGTATCAGATAATGTTCGCAATCTTTTACTAACAAAACTTGGTTGGACCGGTTCCGGCGCACTAACTTTCGACGAATTAATTCAAGCATGTGTATTAATAGAAACCATGTCTGATCAGACTCAACAGCACGATTGACATCTACGTTTCTCGCTTATGACTAAATATCGGAGATGTGCGTCGTTCTTTACCTATATAATGTCGTTCTTTACCTATATAATGTTTACCTTTATAATATCAAACGGATATTATAAACATTTGAAAAGTTCCAGTGAGTGTGAAATCAATGCGATTAGTGAGGAATATCTCTTAACGTGGGGCTCCACCCCCCGCCCATATATGTACCTTCAAATTTTGTCAGTTTAAAGAGGACACCTGGCTACATATATCCTTAAGTTCTTTCGATGAACTGATAAGTATTCGCAGAGTTATTAATTAATTAAGTTTAAATTTTAATGAAAATTTAAAGTCCTAGTCCTCATTTTAAAAAACTAGTAGCTTAGTCTAAAATAATCGTAGAAAAGTCATTTACGCATTGCTTGATAGTCAATGGTCTGTTGTTATGGTTTAATGAAAAAAATTTGAAAAAAAATCTAATGAATAATAATTAATATCACTCTGGTACCTTACAGTTTTATTTTCAAATTAATGGTTTATTAGAAACGGTGAAGTAATACGTCATTCGACAGAGATATCCAAGCCCTACAAAGTCGTGCGTTTATCTTTTCAAAAATGTTGCACATAAGCAGTTATTTGTACTTAGTTTCAGGCAAACGGGGTTTCTATTATGCTTTCTCAATACAGCGGTCATGGATGTTTTTTAAATAACTCGAGAACGAAAAGAGATTGAAAGTTCGATTTTCAGCATTCTGTAGAGAAGGCTTTAATCTATCTTCACATATATTTGGTGCTAAAAATCTTGGTTTTCCAGGTGGTGTACCTGACGGATGATTGATTTTATTTTATTTGACAACAAAAAGATAGCTAAAAAAAAACAATAATAGAATGTTGCAGGGATAACAGAAAAGCGCGAGGAGCCCTTATGATTACTGTTACCCAAAAGAAAAAGAAAAAGAAGTAGATGTAAATTTATATTTCTAAGAAATCCTTTAGCTTTTGCTTAAATGACCTAATTGATGCTGCAGTCACAACTTCATCGTGTAACCCATTCCACTCTATTGCCGTGCGATGAAAGAAGGAGTACATTGTCGTG